TCCCCATAGCGCCCCCTAGAGGACGCAGTTCGAAGTTCCCTTGAAAGGGAACTCATTCTTTGGCATTCTTTGTGTTTATGTAAAGAACATCCATTAACCAGATATGCTTGTCAAAGACTGTGCTGTTCAGACAGAACATGACTTAAGCATAACACCATAATTCTGATCATCTATCGCAGACACAATGATCACCCTAAATCTGTTAGTTGCAGATAAATAGTTGCAGTGCTTAATTTAAGGATGAGAGTTTGATGAGATGATGGCAGAACAATTGGCTGACTGGACTATTTCTGGACCTTTTAAATTAAGTACTGATGTTTTTAATTTTACTTAGCCTACAGTGTATGTTTAGGACATATGTTTTGTTCAAAAATAAACCACAAAAAAAAAAAAACGATGGTAAATCCAAACAGAACCCGTAAGCTCCAATCATCTTAGTGTTCCACTGTGCCTCAATATCACATAAATAGCATCTTATTTGTCACATTCTGACTGGCAGCTCCTCATTCTATCACAGGCATTCAATTATAGATACCATGATGAAAGCAGCATCAATATTCACCAGGCTGAATTGGTTAGAACAGTATTTTAGAAATAATCTTGAGTACATCAGACGAGTGAATAACTCATTCTTTAGCATTCTTTGTGTTTATGTAAAGAACATCCACTAGCCAGATATGCTTGTCAAAGACTGTGCTGTTCAGACTGTGAAATCTGTTAAATCTGTTAGTTGCAGATAAATAGTTGCAGTGCTTAATTTAAGGATGAGAGTTTGATGAGATGATGGCAGAACAGTTGGCTGACTGTGAACAGTGAAGGGTGCAAGAGTTGAATGATGAAAGTCATATGAGAAAGAGATATGTGTTAGAGAGTCACTCACTGGCGGTGTGTTACATAATAACTGCAGTGCTGAGTGTGAGGGAGAAATAGCAGGCAAATATTGCAGTCTGACATCAGGGTGTGGTCATGCATGGATTTTACCACACAGTAGGTGTGTGTCAATACTCTCATCTGGTTCTTTTAAAATGGACATTCCATTGTTGGACAATCCATATGATCGAAGTTATTATTATATAAAAGTCCTGATCATATTTTATATATAAATATAATACATATTTAAAATATATCAGCTAATATTCTAGATATATTTAGGATGCTTCACTATTTCAATAGGATACTATTCAAATAAGCAATCACTTTTCACTTAGTTGTTATGCTAACAATATAACTTTATAATTGCAATTCTAATTGTAAAATAGAATTATTTTCACAATTGAAAACACCTGTGGACCTTTGCATAGGTTTGAGTCTCACAATAGACCGTTATTGATTTTGGATCAATTGCCACGTTTTGCTTTTTGATCAATTGCAATTAAAAGGAAGAGTCAGCTATTGGCAGTCTGCAATCATTACTGCTGCATCTCCCACCTGCCTTTTGTCTACTGCTGACCTGAGATTAGTACAGCATCTCTCCCTTGCAATACTTCAAATTGCGCTCCGTAGCTTGTTTTAATTGAATACTGTGTGAATATGGAAACTGTGGAATGGGAAGGTTTTCATCCCCTGTATTTTGTGCATCTTATATATGTGTTTAGGACATTTTTTGTGTCCTTTTTGTTTGTCACCTCCCTGTGTTACTATGATGTGTTCTCTGTAGGTGTCAGGGCAAACATGCCCCCCCTCCTCCCCTCTCTCTCTCTCTCTCTTTCTCCTCCTGTGAGCAGAGACCTCCTGCTGGGCTGGCAGGGTGTGGCTCCCACTAGCTCAGAATGATTTTGCTAGGCACCATAGCACATACATACCCCATAGACACACAAATGTTATTGTAACACAAGCTACAAAGTTCTTTTGGTCCGGACCAAAAATTAAACGGATCCATTTAGTCCACCTTTTCAGGGGTCTCCATCTGCTTGTTTGGTGAGCACCAAGGTTCGGATGGCAGTGTTCACGCTTATTCAAATGAAATGCACTAATCAAACCAAATCTACCAAGTATGAACACACCCTAAGAGTGAGTATGTTCATTGTTCACTGGAATGTGCTAGGCTTTTGTTTACTAATTTAGTTGTGTAAACCTAGCACTATTATGAATATTGTTATCTCTGTGACAAACTGCTATTGTAAGTCACTTTGGATAGAAGCTTATGCTAAATGCATAAATGTAAATATAATCATAAACAACACACTTGTTTGTAGCGCAACAGTTTATTGAACTTGGTTATTCTTCTAGTCATTTACCTAGTGGCTAATTAATCAGAAGTCTCGCTTATTCACAGGAAATAGCTTACTTCCACGTTTGCAAAATACGGTGGATAGTATGAAATATAGTAGGGAAGCCTAATTAAATTAGTATTCTGTGAGGTTGTACATGGTATCCTGGCACATATAATGTCAGGCATTTTAAAGGGATACTCCACCCCTCAGGATAATTCTGTCATCGTTTACTCACCTTCATGTGGTCACCTATATGACTTTCTTTCCTTTGTAGAAACTTAAAAGAAGATATTTTGCAGAGTGTTGGGAAACAAACAACACTGGAGCCCATTGACTATCCCTTTAAACATCAGCTAGCTTAATCTTTGTTAAACGTTTATGTAGTGAATATGTGTATGTTGTCAGGTCAGATGGATTGGCTGATGCAAAAGCATTTTAAATCTGTCAGCAATAAGCCTGCTCTTAATCCTGTTCCTGTGGTTTCATAATGAGGAAGTGCTATGGCTTCGTTCCATACAGTGATCTGACTTGTGCTGGGATGTTTTATGACTCTGTATGTGCTAAAAATGTTTCGGTGTCAGTTTTATTTGTGAAAATAGATTGGACTGCTGGTAGAAGGAGGTGGAACTTGGAAGATGGAATGTCCCCATAAAACATGGAAACACAACATGTGTGTGTGTGTGCGTGCGTGCGTGCGTGCGTGTGTGTGTGTGTGTGTGTCTGTGTGTGCGTGCGTGCGTGCCTGTGTGTGTGTGTGTGCACTATTCTGTAACTTGAATGTGTTTGTATGTTCATGTCTTGTAATGAAGACTTGCTATAAGGCAACAGCAGAGCTGACAGAGTTTAATTACTGTCAGTCTGAACACACATTAATCTTTGGTCAGATCAATAGTGCTTCCTCTAACAATCAAATACAGTCCCTACAATGCACTAGGTGATTTTGGTGAAATAACATGCATAATTAAAAGTCTCAGACCTGACATTTGTGGCTTAAATTTGTGTTCTGATGTGCAGACTGAGGAAATAAAACCAATAAGGTAAAGAATGTCTCTGTTGGTGTCCTATTTTTTCTCATTCCATGAAATGACCACTGATATGAAAACATTGGTGTATTAATGTCATATTATGTCAACAGAAATACACATGTGTCCAAATATTAAGTCGCAAGTTATGCAGCGAGATCCATATATGCACTGAATTCAAAATTATATAGGAATTGCATTATGAAAAAGACATAGTTACGACTAGAATTACGAATGAGTTTGCGTGTATTCAATTAGCCTGACACATTAAGATGACAAATAGATCCTACTTCAAACCACATATGCATAATTCATTATCTCTATATAAATGCCTTATGCTGACCTGACTAATGCTGTACTTGCACCACAAGCCACACAGATATGATCAAAAGAAACCAATTAAATCATTTTTTACATTTATTATTTTGCAGATGCTTTTATATTTAGATCAACATTCAAAAAGAGGGTGACATCATGTTTAGTCTGGTTATGCCGTTCACTTCAAAAACCTTGTGCTTCAGTGTTTCCCCTCCAGAATAATTCCTGCGACATCTATTTATTGCAAGAAACAATTTTAGAATTTTTGGAACCTTCAACAACAATAAAAGAAACATCTCTCTCTTTCTCTCTCTCTCTCTCTCGCTCTCTGTCTCGCTGGAGGTGTTTTAAGCTTCATCTGTTCAACCTAGCGTAATAATTATAGAGATTTGCATAACTACAGGGAGCAAAACAACTTTACAGTCAACCGCAGTTCCACTAGTGAGAGAAAGTAGATGTGGCACTTGAGAAACATAAATAAAGTTGCAATAACCACTGATAGGGGATAAACAAAACTGTGTAAAAGAATTAGTAAATACAAAAAGAGTGAAAACTAACCTTGAAGATGACGGTAAATAAACTTTTTTTTTATTTATTATTAATATTGAATTTTAAGCACCAGAGCAAATGAATTTCTTGATTTTACTGAAAAATGCACTCACTGTCAGGCCATCCAATATGTAAATGAGTTTGTTTCTTCATGGGAACAGATTTGGAGAAATGCTTCATTGCATCACTTGCTCACCAATGGATCCTCTGCAGTGAATGGGTGCCGTCAGAATGAGCTGATAAACACATCACAACAATCCACAAGTAATCCACACGACTCCAGTCCATCAATAAAAGGCTTGTGAAGCAACAAGCTGCATGTTTGTAATAAACAAACCTGTCATTACGGTGTTTTAACTTTAAACTGTTGCTTCATGTGATGATGGGGTGTGGTTTTTTAATTTAACACATTAAAGGAACAGTTCACTTCTAGAATCAAATTTCCTGATAATTTACTCAGCCCCATGTCATCCAAGATGTTCATGTCTTTCTGTTTTTAGAAATGCAAAAGAAATTAAGGTTTTTGAGCAAAGCAATCCAGAATTTTTCTCCATATAATAGACTTCAATGGGAACCAATGGGCTGAAGGTCTAAATTGCAGTTTCAGTGCAGCTTCAAAGGGCTCTACACGATCCCAGCCGAGGAATACGTGTCTTATCTAGCGAAACCATCTGTCATTTTCTTTAAAAAAAAACATTTATATACTTTTTAACCTCAAATGCTCGTCTTGCTCTAGCTCTGATTACGTAATCCTGTTGGAAAAGGCAAGTGCGGTTAGCTCGTCCTCTGTGTACTCCGGTTCAGAAAGGTAGGGTAGGGCGAAAAACTCATTTTCTCCTCCAACTTCAAAATCGACCGACATCGTTGTTTTACCCTTTTTTTGTAAAGGGCGTTTGACTTTCTTTGCACATTCGCTTTGTAAACGCTGGGTCGGTGCTTACGCCTACGTCACGCGTGACCTTTCCAACGTGACTACGTATGCGTTATGTCGAGCTAGTGCACGACAAGCATTTGTGGTTAAACAGTATATAAATGTTTTTTTTTTTTTAAGAAAATGACTGATCGTTTCACTAGATAAAACACTTATTCCTTGGCTGGGATCGTGTAGAGCCCTTTGAAGCTGCACTGAAACTGCAATTTGGACCTTCAACCCGTTGGTTCCCTGTTGGTATAAAGTCTATTATATTGGAGAAAAATCCTGGAATGTTTTCCTCAAAAACCTTAATTTCTTTGCATTGAAACTGCAATTTGGACCTTCAACCCGTTGGCCACCATTAAAAACCATTATATGGAGAAAAATACTGGAATGTTTTCCTCAAAAACGTGAAGACATGAAAATCTCTGATGACATGGGGGTGAGTAAATTATCAGGAAATTTTTATTCTGGAAGTGAACTAATCCTTTAAGGCTAGCCTAAGTGCAGAGATGTCTTTATTTTACTTTACTTTATGTTTGATATTCTTCCTTATTTTAATATTATTAGTGTGCAGATCTTCATCTTAAAGGGGTCATATGATGCGATTTCAAGTTTTCCTTTCTGTGTTTTTTGAACATTAAAGCATGTCAACATATTCTGTTACACCAAATACACAAAATAATGACCTTTAAAATAGCATCCTATGACCCCTTTAACATGTTATATGGATCTATACGCACCCACTGAACTAAAAAAGGTATAAGATGGATGGATCACATCCACTTCAAACACACATTTGAAGTTTTCATTTGAGGGGGTGGATGACTTTCTGCACTGATGTGAGTCTCTCTCCATTTCTCTCTAGTGAGTTGGGGGGTTGGATGGCTGTTACCTTTAATCCAGTGAGGCGTAATAATGGCAGGCTGATGCTTGCTGGAACACTGGGATCTTGAATCACTGTGCGCTGAGAAAATGTTAGTCTGAATTATTGAACAAGGCCTCTCTGAAATTACGGCACAGAGCATCACGCAAGCTCCATACAACAGTATCTTTCTTTCCCAGAATAGAGAGGGAGACAGCATGACTGTGTAAAAATGAATCAAAGCACCTACAAGTGTGACACCAGACAAGGTTGCGACTGATCAACTGCTCAGTAGAGTTCATCTAAATCAATGAACTGAATTTGTTAGATTTATTTATATAGACCATTGGTGAGTCTGCAGTTTAATTTGATGGAAATGGTTTATTATGTATATTCATTAAACCCTATTTACTGTGTTACTGTGTATTGAGTGCTACTAAGCATGAAGGATAATCATCTGCTGACATATTATATAAACAAATTTGCTTCCTTGAGATGTTATATTTATTTAGTTTTACTGAATAATGCAACAGCAGCTGACATTTGCAGATACTTCCAGAAGAACCACGAGCACACAGCACAGCACAGCATGGCATTGTACGCTATAGTGTGGTACAGTGCAGAATATTGCATTGCTTGCATTTACATCTGACTCATGTCATTTTTCAAACAAATGTTTTGTTGTTTTTTTATTAAGTGCACTGGTGGTAACCTGCAATTATACTTTAAAGAGCTATGTCTACCTGATTTAACCCATATAAAGTGGTATAAATTAATGTATTTAGGTTGATTCAATGATATTAAATATTTTTGACATACATAAAACCATTGAATGTAGATGTTACCATTTTTAGATTAGCTTTTTTTTCAGTGTGCATAATTTATATACAGATAATAAATTGCAGATGTCAAAGATTGTAATAGGGACAATTTTGAGTTATGATTTGATTTTTGATTTTGAATAAGCCACTTTTGACCACTTTTAATATTCTTTTTCATAATCTTTCAAAGTGCATAATTTATGTGAATAAAATCAAATAAAAACATATTAACCCTATGTGAAATCAAAATGGACCCTATTAACTTTTTCAATGCACCTGTCTGATCTTTTTGTGAACTACTGCATGTGCATGTTATCCTGAAAACGCTAATCACTAAAAAGCTGTCACTCACTTCAATTTATCGCAATCTCACGATTCCGTGATATGAAGCTCTCAGAACTGCCAATAATATCTTATTTACATCGTGTCTATGTGTGGCGTTTAGCATTCAGTGAATTCTGACTGTGTCACCCTGTATCTATTTATATATTTCTTTATTAATATCTTAATATATTATTATATCGTATATCTTATATTAATCATTTGCACACACGACCATTATCCGGCTCTGCTCATCCCGACCGCAGACGCAGGTTTACAAGCCACTTTTTCCTGTGTTTTTCAACCAATTTCTTGACTTTTTCCCCCTTATGAACAACACATTTTCGTACACGATAAAAGCTCCTTGTGGTTCCTCGGTTTGGTCGATTTGAGCATCCATAAACAACGCAAAACACAGGCATTTTTAGTTTTGTTAGTGATTTCTATGGAGAAAAATCACTTCCTGCCCTCCAGCTGCATTTCGCGCGTCATCAGAATCACATGATTGCAAACAACCTATTCACTCGGGGAGCAAACGAGGAATTCTTGAATAACACAGTCTTTAATAGTCCACAGGAAACCCGAGAACAAGGAGGACATTCAACAAGTAGACCCGACAAACACTAACTGAATGGACTAGGGCTTTTAAACTCAGGATAATAAGGGAGGAACGAAACACACCTGGGATCAAATTAACAATCAACATGAGGAAGAAACTGGGTCACAGGGGCAAAAACACACACAGAATAGTAAAGTTTAAAATTTTTAATTAATTAAAAATGTAAAATAAATGGTTATGATAAATAAATGACAAAATTACTAAAAAAGGTTGAAATATGTTATTTACCTGTATGTTATGTGACTATTAACCAAGATCAAAGAACCATGAATATGTGAATGTGTTGTTAACATTATTGACATATAAAAATGTCAGGGGGTACTTCTAGTAAATATTTCAGGTAAAAGGAGTTCAGCTGACAAAAAAAAAGTTTGTGAATCCCTGCTTTATATCATAAACATGTTTTTTGGCTATAGCAGTTAGCGCACATACTTTAAGTCATGGTGCTCATTTACTGTATGAAATGTGAGTTTGAACCTGGCTTGTGACATTTCCTGATCAAATTACCCCCCTCCTTCCTTTTCCATAAAATTTACTGTCCATTTAACACTATTTGAGGAAATATATAAATGGCAAAAAATACAACAAAGTCATAATGCATTTTTGCTTTAGCTTAGTTTTGGCCCTTTTGTCCTGACAGTGAATAATAAAAAAATAAAAAAAAAATGCTGAGCTAACTGTGTTTTCTCAAATGTACAGATGAGCACTCGGGGTCACTGAGTTCTAAGAAGACACACACTACAGAAGTGGCGGAGGCTTTGCACAACAAACAGGCGCATACTTCTAATGTCCCAATACACTATTTATTATAGTCAGCCTATTGATTTTCTCACTGCTGTCTGTCGCTAGTGTTGACTCACCACCAAAGACTCAGCCTTTCCTGACCACAGCACATTTGTTTGTGTGTGTGTGTGAGAACTGGCAATTTAATCATGCTTCAAGTCCTTGACATGTCATTAAGAAATCTGGGCAGGTGGTCCAGACTGGAGACAGGCTTCTAAACAGCTCTCTGTCTGTGTGTGTGTGTGTGTGTGTGTGTGTGTGTACTAAGATGGCTCTACAAATCATACCCCCACCATTAAGCTCCAGAGATGCTGCTTAAAGCCAGACCATCTGACCTCTGTCCGCTTATGAAAACAGGGTTCATCTTAAACAATGAAAGGAGCATCACCATCTATTCACTCAGTAATATTTAGTCTTTACATTCATGTTGTTTCTTATATCTTAGAATTTGGGGAAATATTAAATGTTACAGTATACATTAAACATGAACAAATGTAGCATATTAATAAACACATGCATTGTCAATACCAATTGTATTTATTTATTTATTTATTTATTTTTCTTTATTTATATATCCATCCAAATAGCAAGTTTTTAAATCCTGGCTGGAATTCATACATCACAATGAGACATAATACAGAAATATTCATGAAAATCTCTCAAAATCAGTCATCTATTTAGAATTTGGTAGAATCATTTGCATAGTGTGACGTGTCAGAAATATGGACTGTCTGTGTTGTGTTTTTCTCCCCATGTGCCTTCCATGACCTAGCTTTCCCTCGTGTGTGACATTCCCATATTTGGTTTCCTTCCTGTTCCTGTTATTGTTTCATTGAGTCCAGGTGTCTTGTCATCCCCTTGTTTAGTCGTGTACTTAAGCCCAGTGTTTCCTGTGTCTAGCGTGCTGTGTTAAACGTCTTATCCCGAAGCTATGTGTGTGTGTGTCTCCTGGCTACCCTGTGTTTTCCCCCAGTTTGGACTAGTAAAGTCTGTTTTCCTTCAACTCCTTCATCTCCGCGCTCCTTCGTTCCTCCACAGTAGCAGTGGTGACAGACGGTTATCTGTAATGTAGTCAGATTTGTAAGAAAATGCCATAAAAATATAATCTTTTTTTTTTTTCATTCCATTTTCATTCAAATTGACATCATTTGAATGTAGTACTTGCCTTTGGAATTACATTTCTACCAGCTTTGTAAAGAATGCAATTGGCTCTGTGACGAATCTTATTTGCTTGTGGAGAGAAAACAGACAAGAGAATGCAGATCTTAGCTGAAAATGTTTTGTTACAAGTTAAATACAAAAACATTAAAATAATCTCCCATTTGTTTGAAAATCTGAGTAATCAAGCATAAGTACAGTAAGAAATGACTGAAAGTGTCTTGCCACAGTCAATAATGTCATTTGCATTAACAAATGACATTATCAGGAGGCATTTCCTGTACACTGATGCAACTCGCTGATTAATTATACCATAGATGCATTGCTGGAGAAACTAACCAGCTAATCACAACAGTTTCCCGAAACCGTAGCAACATGGTCACACCACTGTTGTTTGAACCACACTGATTTAGCAATATAGGACTATCGTTAAAGATGTCACGTGCAGGTGATGGAGTAATAACTTCTACTAATTCATCGATCTGCAAG